ATATAAAGGCATTTTAAACCCTTCCCACACACTTGCAATATTCTAAATAATGTTTCTAAATTCTAAATGTTCTAAAAGAGCACAGAATGTCATGATTTCAGCTCCCTGCCTCCTCTGTTCTTTGCCAACTGCAAGCACTCTTGGCCACGCCCACTTCTATGCTCTGCATGGAGAACAGCTGATCAGCTGCAGCAGAAAGTTTATCCTGCAGTATAGGCTGCACAAAGGTGCAGCAAGTGCTAAATAATTTAAAATAATTTATTTTAAATAAAATATGTCATGCCGATCGTGAACCTCATCCATCAATCAGCCAATTGAGCGTCATGTCCAATCTTATTTTGAAAAACCACAATGGAGCGAGTCCGCGACAAATGAACCACAAATTAGCGAGGGACTACTGTACCGCATTTGCACCTCTCATCTGCCTTTAAATAGTGTCTTTAGTGACTAAAAGTGGGAGTAATTCTTTTTTTTTTTTTTATCATTTCTAGAAGTAGAGATTTTTCAAAAGTATTTTTAGTGTAGCTGTGTAGTTGAGTAAAGATTTGAGGAAGAAGTCAGATGTTGCAGCGTACCGTGTGCAAGCCCTTTATTGTTTTTAACGTGATAAACATGTTCTAGAAATCGTAACAATGGATCTGTTTTTACTGACTCTCCATATGGATCTGACATATACAAAGGAACAAAAACACACATTTTGTGTTTGCTGCTGTCCCATGGATTTATAAATGTAATGTCAAATAAAAGAATTCTGGTGAATTCCTGATGCCCAACAGTTGAGACTTATACAAACATCAACATCTTATTTAATAACTTTATCAAATTCTCTGTTGACAATCTGCTAATTCCCTTTTTTTTTGTTCTGTTTCTATGTGGATCTAGCACTTTAATAAAAGTATTTCATGATAGTACAAGAACATGAAACACTCTGAAATACATCCATTGTGATCACATACAGACTTAACGCCTCTACAGACTCTTCAATCTTTTATTTCTTCATCTGAATGTTTGCACAGACATTGGATGCAATAAATAGCTATGGAAAACATTTATTTCTATAAAGACCTCTGCTTTTGAACCTACACTAAACATCTACATTTGCAGTTAT